AGTGAAAAGGAAATGATTTAACTCTTATATTTTACTAACACAATTCTTTATCTTAAATTAATAATGAAAGTTTAAAACTTTTAAAATTGTAATAAATCTAATTAAATTATATTAATGTTTTTTATATATTATAAAATAAAAGGTAAAAACCTAAAAATGTCATAAATTAAATAAAAAATATATCATGTAATTATATAAATAATTAAACTGAAAAAAGAACATTTAATGGTGCAGTGAAAAGGAAATGATTTAACTCTTATATTTTAGTATTACATTATATCACATCACATCACATTATATTATATTATATTATATCACATCACATCACATTACATTACATTATATTATATTATGTTATATTATATTCAATGAACTGTTGTCCGTCACTAACGCAGCAGCTTCCTGCACTTTTAACGTTTGTATTTTTATAAAACGTTCGATCATCCTCCAGAAGCGTTCACACATACAAGCTTTTTTTAATTAAAAACACTCAGCGGAGGAGCCTGGAGAGAAGGTTTAGACGGGAACCTTTCTCTGGACCTCTTCACAACGCTCTCATTGGTTATGTGTGAAACGGGCCGGAGCGCTTCAGGGCCCAGGGCCAGAACCGGCGTGAGAAGAGCCGACGGCGGGTCTGTCGCTCTGCTGTTTACTAAACAGGACGCTGGGAAGCTCCAGGCTGGGACGAGTCCGACCGCCGGCCCGGTCAGAGGATGGAGCTACGACCCGTCAGAACACGTTAACACCAGCCGAGTCCAAGAACACGGTTAAAACCAGGACGATCCAAAGCACACGAGGGAACCACCGCTGTAAGGTGTTTTATTTGACTTCAGGTTGTAAAGGCTCAACGTTTATGTTTCCTTCTGCAAATCATGGCTGTGCCATTAGCCTAGCTTAGCATCAAGGCTAACAGGAAATGCATCGTGTGTGAAGCCACAGACACTGAAATGTAGAAGAATCATATTGGAGACATCACCAGCGAGCAAAAGCCCTCCTCATAGATTACCGTAATGTCTGGACTATAAGCCGCTACTTTCTTCACACGCTCTGAACGCTGCGGCTTAAGTTTTACGAATTAGCCTCGAGACCAAAGTGACGTCGAGAGCGACAACGACAGATAGACTGAGGAAGTGTGTGACGAAGGAATTCTGATTTTTATTTCCTTAACCAGCCGTGTTACAGGCGTTGCTCAGAAAAAAGCCTCTACGGTACGTATCTGTGTATGTCACCGCTACGGATTTAATTAAAAGCTAAAACATCTTCCTGTGTAAATATCTCATGTTCCAACGTGGACACCTGCAGCCTGTATATGTACACACCTGGTTGTTAAAGTCAGTGGGTGTGGCTTATATTCAGGTGAGCTCATAGTCCGGACTTTACGGTAAATAAAACCAACAGTAATTGTTAAATTTGAACCCTCTGAACGTCAAAATGAGCACAGAAAGCATGTTATCTTGAAACAAAATGGTAATAACAGCTAATAAATACACCGTTTGTCAGCCTGAAACTATAAAAACAGGAAATAAATCATCCCTTCATTCTACATGTGTGAAACAACCGGGTGGAGAAACCGCATTGTGAAGAAAACTAAACATTAAGCAACTGTCAGCGCGACGAGACGCCGCGGCTGACTCAGCTGTGAGCGACAGTCACGGGATGAAGATTCAGTTTGTAGGTTTGTGCAGCTGATGAGCAGACAGGAAACGATGTGCCTGCTGATGAAGCGACTCCTGAGACTCCAACAGCGAGAAAAAGAAATTAAAAAGCAGGAATTCTCTCCGGGTGACTTAAATTGGAAATAATTAATCGCTCTAAATCAAGTGGGGTGACTTTATTTTATTTGCTAATCGATCAAATGTTAAATTTAGTTTGTTTTTTTTAAAAGCGAAAATGCTTAAAAATCAGTTATTTGTGGCAGAACAACATCAGGAGCCTTATTTTTTTTAAATGTTCCAAGATAAGACAAGTTTTATACGCGTCACAGAAACACTTTAATCCGAATGAGTTTCGTCAGAATTACAGCCTTTATCAGAAACTGTCAGATTGTCAACTTTCCAACAGCCCATGAACTCATCACGAGCGCTGCAAAGTTCCATCGTAAATACAAACTAAATCGTCTCATTTTTTTAAAAAAACAAATCACCAAAAATAAAGTAATTCCTTTATCCAGATTCTGCAAAAAACTACAAATTCTGAGCTCCTCTGAGACACCAGGAAGACATCAGCGAGCCAGCTGTGACCAACAGCCATGTGACAAAAATTCAGAGAGTTTTTGGCTGAACTGAAGTCTATTGTTCTGATTAATGGCATTAAAATGGGATCACACAACACCAGAGTTCTGTCTGGTCGTCCTGTTTCCATCCAGGACTTCATACTGCAGTGGAAAAACTAACTTCCGACTAGAAAACAGATCAGAGGGAAGCGTGACAGCCGAGCCGCTCTGCAGGACGTCGGTAGTAAAATCCATATTGTGTAATCAGAGTTCTGCTCATCACCGACCCGCCCTGCAGCGCCTCCAGCTCCGGCCACCAACCCTCGGCTCGTCCGCCTCACTCACACCAAACCAGATTAAATCATCCAGACCACATGCACGCGTCGCTGCGCTGCAGAGGAATCGTCCCACATCCTCCGACACGTTTAAAGCGTCGGCTCTTCGTCCTGGACGCCGGTTCCTCCAGGAGCACCAGCAGCCACAACAGCTCCGTACGCTGACGTCTAAGCCTTGTTGTACACTCAGACCAACAGTGACTCGACTATCAGAAAACGGTCTTGTGCTGGGGACACGACTCTGGGACTAACCGACGGTCCCTGAACGCCTCACATGCAGGCGGCTGTAGATGCTGCGTTCCGCCCAAACAGCCATGAGACCAGAACTCGAGTTGGGCATCGAGACCTGGTGAAGGAGCTTTAGCTCTGGTTCCAAACCAACCGTCACGTGTTGGGCTTCAGAACCGCTGACGCTCTGGACCGTAGAGCCACACGTTGAGTTTGTTGAAGCAGAACATCATGAGTCCAGGTGGAACCGCCGTGGACCACGACGAGCTCTCAGAAGCAGAACTTAGCAAAACAACCACAACAAAACGATGTTCTACCAACAGAACAGCGTGAGCAGCACGTTCAGAACCACTGAGGAGCGGTGAGACGTCTCCATCGGTCCTCTGCTGCAGCGTTCAGGCAAACAGACGATAAATCTGAAGCGTTGTTGAAGCGTCCCGATCAAATGAGTGCACCGGGCAACGCTTGTGGCAGATTAAAGTGCAGCGAATTTAAGAAACCAACCACAGAACCAGATGAGGACTGAATGGATCAGACTGAACGGTCAGATCTGAGCTCACAGCTTCCATAAACTGGATAAAACCATCTGAACGTGAAATGAGTGTTTGTTTAGAACCGATCAGCAGAATCGTCTTTATCTGTTTTCCACATTTCTAAACTTTAATAACTCAGTCCACGGCGTCCGTGTGTCATCGTGGGACGCCGACGTCGAGACAAAACAAAACTTAAACCTTCAAACGTGTAGAAAACAAAAGTAAACCAGAAACATCCACCAGCACTGAAGGTACCGGACGATGGACACAGGCTGGGATTAACGTCCAGATTCTCAGAACTCGGCATGTTCTGGACGAGCAGCAGCTGAACGGTTGCATCAGGAGGAAACAGTGCATGAAGGTCAGGGTGTTCCCTCACAGCCAGCGTGCGACTGTAGCTGCATCGACTCACCGACCACCATCAGCGTGAACTCGAAGCCCCTCTTCACCGACTTGCGGTAGACCTGGTTGGGGAGGTTGGCGAAGCCCACGTAGCCCTCCAGGTTCCGCTGCTGGATGCAAACACACAAACACAAAGACACGTTTTCAGTTAAACGGCAGGACAAACAAGAGGAACACAGAACAGGAGCTCTGAGGACGTGAAGCTCGACCGCCTCGGTGTCATGAACCTGCAATTAGCGTTTTTGTTTTTTTGTTTTTCTTTAAGCGAAGCGCGAAAAACGGAGGGAAACGGGACGGGGGGGAAGCGAGGCGATGAACGAGGCCGTCCTACGTGCTGAATCGTGTCCACGGAGTCCATCCTGCAGCTGCTCCGGCTACCTCCTCATCTCTGACATCTGACAGACGTCCAGCGATGTCCCGGAAACGCCATCGATCTGCAGCCGCTCGGCCTCCAGCAGGCATCCAGCCCACAAAACGCTGCAGCACGAGGGTTTGGACCCGACCAGAGCCAGAGTGTTCAAACATGTTCCTCTGCTTTGGTGAAATTTGAAACTGGACGCAATAAACCAATAAATCTGCTAAAAACAAACACAAAAAAATATGGAATTTGGGGGAAAAGGTGTCAGAAAACTGTAATAAATAGAAAACAGAAGTCCTTCTAGAGGAAACCTATTATTTACTCATAAATACGTCGAGAGATTGAGAAGCAAAGCGACTAAAAACTGATTAAAATGACCTCAAACATACCAGATGAGATTAAAAATGTCCACAGAAGCTAACAAACCGACGACAACGACATGAGAAAGGACCGCAAAGAGACAAAAACACCCGAAACAGATAAAAACGACGACGGAGGAACCGAAACAGGACGCAAAACAACCGAAGGGAGACGGAAACCGAAGCAAATGATTTAAAATGACCTCAAACATACCAGACGAGATAAAAAGTGACCACACAGACAGAAAACGACACAAAACAGACGCAAAGGGTGCACAACAGAACACCAGAGAGACGTGCAAAACCATCATTAGAAATAAAAAGATCCAAAACAGCGACAGAGGGACGCGAGAAACCAGCCGAAAATGAACACGTTAAGATGGAAAACCAGCAAAAAAGAGGCTCAAGTTACCGAAAATAAAAAGTAAACTGATGAGAAACGAGCACGACGACGTGAAGATCAACCAGAGAGCTGCAAAACAAGGTGTCAGAAAAAAGTAGAAAACTAATAAAAAGATCATAAAAATCCTTATAGAGGAAATCTATTGTTAATATAATTATTTAGTGTCTGTAATTCAACAAATCTTTAAAATTCTTTCACCACTTTCATCCTGATAGAATCGTTTTCCAAAAACATCACACGTCGATTTAAATGCTGCAGAATCATTTTAATCTTACAGAAACAACAACAACTAAATATTAAATCCACTTTATTCCACGTGTCCTGATGACCGGTTTCACACCACGTGTGGTCCAAACGGAGCTGAAACCAGAATCTGTGTTCCTGCGACAGTCAGAGGTTTGCAGGTTTCACACCAGCGGAGGAGGTTCTGACCACACGGACGGCAGGAAGCGATCCATTGGCCTCATCGACGCTCCACAAACTGGCCCGGAGCTCTTTCCACCACTTCCACGTTTGGGCCGCCCACATGAGAGCTCGGTTACATAAACCGTGAGAGCTGCAGGTAGAACCGATCAGCTGGAGCAGAACCAGGACGAAGCAGCGTGAA